AGGTTTGGCATGGAGAGGTAAACGTGACGTATTTGGCTGCTGTGAGGACGCCTTCCCTCCATCGAAGCAGCCAGCTGAGCTTTGTTCAGAGCCCCAGATTCCACTTCGCATACACCACCGCTGGCTGGGTGGAGAAGAGCTTTAGGGGAACGGAGGTCTCAGTGGGATGAAGGGTGGGAGGGGATGCTGAAGATGAGGAGTTTTCATGATGTATGATGAGTCTTATTTTTTGTCACGTGTTACGTTTGCTGTTCAAAGGAACTGTTGCAATAAAACAAACGCTCATTAGGCTAGACCACTTGGATTCACTCCAAATCATTCACACTTTGAGAGCTTCGATGAACAACAACGGACACCAGTTCATCCGATTAGTCTCAGTATCAGGAAAAGAGCACAGACACCCAGGCTTAAGGTGAGGCACGCTTTTATTCACAAATGTTTTACAAAACGACCGGAAACTGGAAGGTCTCAGAGCTGAGGTCATGTTAATGAACCCTCTGGAGGCAGGCGTTGCAGATTTGCAACAGTTAAAACCTACCTACCTGGTTACTCCACACACGTATTTCATGAGCATTTTTTAACTCAGAAGTACCCCCGAAGGACGTAGTTGTTCGTCCTTTTGTCAAAACTTATTGAGCCTGAGAGGGTTAACAATATTGGAGAATAAAAGCACGTCTTGTTTCCAGGACCTGTTGGAGGAGATTGAATCTGGAGGTGTCAAGGAGCCAAACAGGAGCAGAAAGGGGGAACAGGAGTGCAGATAGGTTGATGAAGATGAAGAGAGCAGCTGAAGCAGGTATGAGTGTCACTGCTTCTGCAGTCTTCTTCTTTGATGGATCTTTTTTTCAGGGCTGCACGGTGGAGCAGTGGTTAGCGCTGTTGTCTTGCGGCTGGGTTCACGTCCCAGCCTGGGGTCTTTCTACATGGAGTTTGCATGTTCTCCCTGTGCATCATGGGTTCTCTTTAGGTACTTCCTCCCACGGTCCAAAAACCTGACTGTCAGGTTGACTGGTTTCTCTAAATTGTCCTCAGGCATGAAAGTGTGTGCATGGTGGTCTGTCCTGTGTCTGTGTGTTGCCCTGTGATAGACTGGCATCTTGTCCAGGGTGTACCCTATGTAACGTGATGGAGGTGCTATTCCACCGAAGGTTATTTACCCTCTTCACAGATGCCTCTGACATGAGACTGCCTCAAGGTCTCATTCTAAACTGCTTCCTTTCCAGCACAAGAGAAGAATGAAGAGAAAGGACTCTTTCTTTTTGATAAATCAAAGAACTCTATTTTTAATAAAGCTAAACAAACAAAGTGTTAGTCAATAATAAGATGTTGACCAATCTGTGAAATGACAATGTTATGATTAGTAAGTTTCAATGAGTAATATGACTTTAATCTAGCTGCAGTAGACATCCTGATTACAAGTAATGTAAACACATGACACATTGCTTTCACTCATCCAATCGGAACCTTCCTTTCTGAAGCGTGGCATAGTCTCTGTGGTGTTTATAAATCTGCCAACTTTGATTCGACCGTAAATCAAAGCATCCAGATTAATAAAACCAGTTCCCACGCCATCTTAGATCAGTTCACCGCATTCTAAGAGAAGTATCGGACCGGCCACCCGGACTTCCTTTTAAAGCAAAGAACCAACAAGCTGGATAAAATCTGTTGCATTTTACCAACCAAGCAACGGTTCCTTTCAGAATAAAAGATGAACTCACTGACCCTCCGGGTCCATCCAACGCTGTCATTCAATTGTCGCTTTTTACCTGGAGACAATCCAAAGACTAGTCTGTCGTACTGCTGACGCTGTTTCATCGGCTCCGGTACCGAAGGGGGGTCCGAGGACCTGGCATTCTGGATTTGTACAGAGGTCTCATCCTGAAGGGTATGTGTGGAGCGACAAATGGCGTCTCATGTGTTTATGAAACTCCGATCATAGCTTAAGAGCAAAACATCACTTCATCACTCAGACTTGCTTCTCCGGATACGAGAGTTCTGATGACAACATCACTCACACATACACCATTCATCTCACGTCTCATTCACACCAGATCCATTCATCACTTAGAGTTTAGAGTTAGTCTTGTTTAAAATTGTTTAGAAATAAATCTTCTTAAACATTTTGAAGGTGACTCTCTCTTCTCTTGTCTCTCAGTTAATACGAAGTGTTACATAATCCCTGCAATAAAAAGTTCCAATCTTCTGGTTAAAATAACCCAAAGGTCCAAAAGACTGATTCCATATTCATTATGGAATCTCATGTCTTATGGTCCATTAATTAGATGTAAATTAACCCCTTGCACCCGGCTGTTTGCCCTTTGGCTGCTGGAGATGGGCACCAGCCCCCCCGCGATCCAGGTTGTTTACAGGTGGTCAGACCATGGCAGTAATGTGGTGCAATCATGCCTTTTATTGCAAAAGATTAGGCGATGGCTGGATAAAGGAGGTCTCTGCACTGCCACGAACTTCCATTTATCTTAGACATGATTTAATTGCAACTGAAGCTGCACTCTAAAGTTTTTTTAACAAGCTGCTCATAAAGGTGTCTGTCCTCCACAGTCCCTGTGCAGTCTCCAGCTCTAACGGAGAGGAGCTGCAGGAGCGTTGCATTGCTTCAGTATAACGTCTCAGCTGATTCCATTTACAAAAGCAAAACTTGCGGTGTTTGCTTTCATTGTCAATAAAGCTGCTGGCTGGATCTCGGCCGTAACTTTCCACGTAACCACGACACCCCCTCTGTTGCACCAAGGCACAATCGCCGTTTATATGATAGACAAGTACCGCAGAATTACTACCGAGCAAGGTGGAACAAATGCTGCAAAATTTGTGCATCACCACGCCGACATGGTGCGTTGAGACACACCGTTGCAGTAATATTAAAATGCGCTCGTCACAGCAGTCTGTCCTCGCGCTCCTGCAGCTGGAGCGGCAGGTGTGGGTCAGAGAAGATGTTTACCTCACCACATCCAGACTGATCATGAATCATGCATGCAGAAAGCTTCTGGCTGATCCTACCCACCAATCAGAGTATCCCTCTATAGGTAGGCAGAAACCTTAGTCGGCCAGTAAAGCCTGATTCTTGCTTCTCCGTCTGCATCAGTGCTGAGACACGCAACGTCCTTGCGGGCCTGCCGGAGAGCTCCGCAAGGACGGACGGAGTCGAGCTCTCTTTTCTAAACATCCGTCAGTCGAGACGGACAACGCAAGCTTGTGATTGGTCAGGACACCGCTGTTGTCTACAGAGCCGCCATTGCGCCCTCAAAAACATAAAGAGAGCCGAGGATGACTAGCGGCAGACACGGAGAAGATTGAAGAATACCTCACGAAAAAACTCTAAAAAACATGAACGTTTAATTCCCCCCTGACTGGAGGAGTGAAAAGATGGCAGCAAGCGTTTTATTTGTGGACGGAAATGACAGGAAACGTGGGTTTAGAGGTGGCGAGTGCATGAAGAGGTGGAGGAGAATTAGAGACAAATTTGTCTGTGTTAAAAGTCTCTTATATATACAAAAAACACAATATAAACACACTATCTTGGACCGATACATGACAGGATACCACAGAACTGTGCTACACCCTCTGTTGTCCTGCCGGGGAATTGCTTTGCAACACTCCCCAGGAGACGGAGAAGTATGAGAGCAAAACACTTCCGTCAATCCGTGCGTGTCTGTCTCTTGCGGAGCTAACGGAGAAGCATGAACCAGGCTTAAGTCGGTAGTTGGTGTGTTGGGTCAACTAAGCACAAAGCAGACCGCCAGAGAGCACAGAAAACGCAGATTACCCAGATGTGAACACAAATAACCTACCAGGGCTGGGCCGTGCCGACCCAGATATGATACCCCACTATAATCCTGGTTAGTAAAGTTATTTACGCTCCAGTCATTTTGCCATAGTTAGCTACCTGCTAGTTAGCATGCAGTACAAAATGACCATCTGAAATATTTATCCAAAAACAGACTCTGCAACAGGGGCGGCGTTAGGCCCGGCTACTTGGGCTGAAGCCCCGGATGTTTTATGAAAAGCCCCGGATCTAAATCGCGGAAGTAACATGCAGTACCAAAGTCCAACAGAGAGGGAGCAGCTGGCAGTAGTTTGTATACAGCCTGCCTGAGCCTCCACCACTGAAGAAGAAGCCCTTCAGCAGCCGGCTTCTTCTGCACTCTCTGCCTGAAACGCATGAGTGAAGATGGACATAAGGACGCTTTTTAGACCAAAAGTACGGCAACAGAACCCCAGCTTTGATGAGACTGGTGTTGACTCAGGTTTGTGGGTCTAATTTGAAAATATTTGTTGTGCTGCTGGTTTGCCTAAAGTTAGCTTACTATCAGGTAAAGTTGTTGGAGAAAGAAAGGGAATATTTACCATCATCTCACACTAAACGCTAACAGGAACAATACTCTGCCCTGAATATGCTTAATATGGAGCTTCAGATTAAAAATTATGTGGTACAAGACATATATGATGTTGACTAGTGTGTGTCACGTGTGTGTGTTCGCGCGCGTGCGTGTGTTAAGCCCCGGATGTTCTTCAGTTCTTAATCCGCCCCTGCTCTGCAAAAAAAAAAGTTAAAAATCCATGAATGTCCACTTCAGAAACGGTTAAACCTGCTGGCCCCTCAGACTCATGTGGACCATGTTTGTTCATCATGCCTGCATGTTGGGCTGCCTCTGGGGCCACAGAACTATTAACTGACCTAGATGAATAATTTTCGTCACATCAATACCAATTAATAAAAACAACACAAATACAGAAAATTGCTGCTTACAAACAGAGTGACCAACATGTACTGATTAAGTTGGAGGGAATGTTTTTGCTGCCACACCCAGAACAGGAACAAGTGATGTCATCAGTAATGCTCATTTAAAGCAGCTGTGTGACCTTATGGACTGTGTAGGAATGTTATTTCTCATGCATCAGGAGACCCATGTGGACTAGCACGCATGCATCTGCTGCGTTTGCTTATTTTTGCAGGTCAGGCACTTTAAATGAAGACACGGCAATTTATAAGAAATGAGTCATTTCTTGTTTATTTATTTATTTTTCACGTTAAAGGTGAGTAAAGTCAAACGTTCGTTTTAAAGAATCAAAGACAAAGAAGCTCCACAGGAAAACGTGTTATAGCTGCACTTGGCCACAAATCCAAAACTTTGCAAAATCACAAGAAAAGTGTAAAAAACTTTTGTCAACTCTGTTACTTGCTAGATATTTTGACTGTGAAACAAAATGATCTAAACTAAAATAAACAATGTGAAAAAAAATTATATATATATATATATATATATATATATATATATATATATATATATATGTATATATATTTTTTATTATTATTATTTTTTTCAGTTAAACTGAGGTAAAGTAGGCTCAAACTCCCTATTCAGCCCACCTTTTTATTGGTCTTTTACAAGATTTTCTAATTGTTTAAAACTCTTTTTGGACCGTTTTTTCCAAATGCAAATCAAATTCATGCCGCCGTTTGCAAAGAAATATGTAATCATGTTACATTTTAAGGCTCAGAAACAAAAATTTTTGGGCATTTTTTTTTATTAATTTGTTCCAATACGGTAACATATTTAAACATCCCATAGTGCTTAGATTTAGTAGTATCTTCATTTCTCATTTATTTCTGTTCATTTCAGGCCTTAAAAGGGGACAAGAATTTTTCTCTAGTAAGTGGATCATCCGTCAGGGGGTAAAACAGATTCTGACTATTCAGAATGATGAGTTTTTAAATTATATTAGTGACGTTACCCAACAAATGTGTAAACTTTTACAAATTTAACGTCTTTTTTTGTGACTCTGCTACGTTTTGTGTCGTGCATCAAGGCAGTTATTCCACATTCTGGAGGGAGACTGTAATAAAAAAAGACACAAAACCAATGCACAGTATGCTTTTAGTTACAGTTTTCTAAAGTCACTCCTTTTCTTCCAATGGTCTGCAAACAAATAGAAACAAATAATAAAACCAATAAAACAAATAAACTGCCACAAGCATGAGTACATTTCTTCATGTTATGATTTGTATCAAAAGATATATTTAAAATGGGTTATTAAACTGAAATATAAGGCACGTGAGCAACAGAGCTTGGGTTGTTAGACTCACAAGAGGTCTGTGTTTAAAGCTTCAGTCACCGCAGCTCATTTTATTTTACAAAAGTACAGTTTTCACGGCTAATGTCACGTGCACAGTCACACTCCGCATGCACACACTCATTCCTTATCAAGTACTCACACTTACAGGACATCACGCAGGAGAAGCGTAGACGTGAGTCCTGATATGTACAGTCTATGAACCCTATGGCTGTGAGAACACACACGCACATGCACACGCACACACACGCACACACACACACACACACACACACACACACACACACACACACACACACACACACACACACACACTTTTATTTATGTGGTTTATGTTGTCTCGGGGGTTTCGGGGGGTTTACTGGGTGAAGCGGGGAAACTCCAGAGGCTGGAGCAACCGTGGGAGCAGGAGCTGATCTAAACCTGACTGCCATCAACAACCCGGGAACTGAGCCTTCGTCTTCATCAGCCTCATTTTTCTCTGCCAGTATTGTCATTATCAGACTAGTCTTTCCTGATGTTTGCTGAGGCACACAGCCTAAGGAGAACAGGACCTTTTCTGCTGGTAGGAGGGGGGGGGGGGGGGGGGGGGGGGGTCCTAATCCCAGTGTCATCTGCAGCCCAGCAGGACTGGTTTGTGAATTTCTTTGTTTGGACATGCTTGTCTGAGTTTGTTTGAACATGTTAATGAGAGGAAGTTCCTGAACTGCTGTGGATGTCGTAGCCGTGGGATTATTTTACAGCTCTGTGTCTGCTGTCTTGGCAGTGGAGTGGCCGTTGGTGGGGGGAGGCGTTTGGGTCTTGGCTGGTTCAGGGGACTCTCCGTTAATGTTAGGCTTCTCCTGGGTTTCAGGTGGGGGGTTGAGGGGGGCCACGGACACTAGGGTGTTTCCCTGATTCTCCTGGTCCACTGGAAGGCCCTCCTCCGGCTGTAAACACAGCAGAAATCAGTCAATAAATAAATACAACAGTACAGGTGAAACTCAAAAAAATTTGAATCTGGTACTAAAGTTAATTTATTTCAGTAATTAGACTAGAAAGGTGAAACAAAAATATGAGAGACTCATTGCAACGCCAGCTATTCCAGCCTTTATTTATTATAATTGTGATGATTGTGGCTTACGACTTGATGAAAACCCAACATTCAAAACATCAGACAACTAGAAAATTGTGAAAAGCTCATATTCTAAACTCAAAGTGTCACACTCGAATCAGCTAATTAATCCAGAACACCTGCAAATGGCTCCTGAGCCTTTAGATAGGCTCTCAGTCTACACTGACTTAATGCATTGAATGAACCTTTGCATGATATTCTCATTTTTCCAGTTTCACCTGTTAAATACATGTCACCGCTGAAATTGTAATTTTTCATGAAATGGAATTCAGAAGACTGCCGTCTTTTTCTCTGTGCAACAATTGTGCTTTTTCAAGTAAAACACATGCAGTGTGCTGGCGTTTAACATACTTTCTGACTAAAATGGCGTACACCTTTTAGAGACTTTTCTAATGTTGTTCCTGGTCTTTACTGCATATTTTAGGGAGGTGAATTTATAGACAGAGGTAAAAATATTTCACCACAGTGTACAGCATTAAAAAACACCGTATTTGCTACACACTAAGGTGGAAGGCTCATGGTTTGGGCACCTTTATGTTGTACATCTTCAAGGAGTCAGGCATCAGACCATAGAGAAAAAAATCACATAGGGTTTCTTTCGAAAACCCATTAGACTTTAGACAAACATGTCTCAGGAAATGGTCTGTCAGACTAAAAGGTATCAGGAAAAACTTTGTCAGAAAAAGGGTCTCAGGAAAAAAATGTCTGAAAGAAGTTTTTTCTCTTATGTATTTTTGTCTGACAGACTTTTCCCCGAGATGTTTTAGTCTGAAATACTCTTTCCTGAGACCTTTTTCTCTATCATACTTTTTCCTTAGGCCATGGTTTCTAGCAGACTTTTTCTTGAGAACTTTTAGTCTGACATCATTTTTCCTGAGACCTTTTTTTCCTGACAGACATGTTCCTGAGACATTTTGTTAATAATAATAATAATAATAATAATAATAATAATAATAATAATAATAATAAAATTAAGGAACTCAGGAGCTCTTTTAGCGGACGAATGTTAATGCCCCGTTATTCCACTAAATGTTTTAGAAACACTATAATTCCTGCTGCAGTACGTTTTTACGACAAGCATTTTGCACCATCTTACATTGGATGTTTTATCATGGTTGTGGTTTATAGTAGAGTCCAGTGAATGTGAGTTTTTGTTTTGTCTGTTTGTTGTTGTTTTTACATTTCCATGGCAACTCAATCCCCCTCTTGGGGATTAATAAAGCCAACCTTAATCTTAGAATATTTTCCCTTGGACCTTTGTTTCTAAAAGACTTTTTCCTGATACCTTTTCCTCTGACAGACTTTGTTCTGACATGTTTTACTCTCATGCTTTATATCTATCACAAGGCTCAGAGGTTTAGCAGTCCTGACCCGGTTATGAGACGTAATTATCTCTGAGTAATCAGGTGAGGGTGTTGCTTCTTCGTTTCTGTTGTGCAGATTTCCCTCACTCATCAGAAACCGACTGCTGACCGTTCACCGACACAGAGCCTTTCATAGAGCCAGATCCTCTTGAGCTACACCTTCCAGTGCTGCAGTAACACCATCCTAAGAGGTTTTATAAGATTTATGTGATTTTGCTCACCCAGATACCTCAATAGTTTCATCACAATGTTTTCTCAACATGACAAAAATTAGCCATGAGACAGATAAATGATCCTCCCAAAAGCTGCTAATTTATAACAGCTGAAAATGAAAACAACCATGGAGTCATGTTGACCCAGAGACCAGGCCTCAATCTGACAGAAAACTGTGGTGGGACCTTCAGAGATGCTGAGCAGAGACCAACTTCCCCCATGAAAGGAAACAGCATTGTACAGATGAGGTTGCACTAGTGCAGGGGTGTCAAACTCAGTTTTGCTCAGGGGCCACATTGAGGAAAATCTAGTCCCAAATGGGCCAGACCAGCAAAATTAAAGTATGTATAAATTCAATTCAATTCAATTCAAGTTTATTTATATAGCGCCAAATCATGACAAGAGTCGTCTCAAGGCACTTCACATAATAAACATTCCAATTCAGGTCAGTTCATTAAGCCAGTCAGAAATAATGTTTCCTATATAAGGAACCCAGCAAATTGCATCAAGTGACTGACTAGTGTCAGTGACTTTACAGCAATCCTCATACTAAGCAAGCATAAAGCGACAGTGGAGAGGAAAACTCCCTTTTAACAGGAAGAAACCTCCAGAGAATCCCGGCTCAGTATAAGCAGCCATCCTCCACGACTCACTGGGGATGGAGAAGACAGAGCAGAAATTAAAAACTTCTTCAGATTGTTTTCTTTGTTTTAACACAATCAACATAAAACAAAGCTGGAACCTGAGGACAGTGTATCCAAAATAGTTTAAGCACAATGTCACTATTAATACTAAAACACCTGAAGTGTATTTGAAAATGTGAAACACAAAACAAAAAACCCAGACTATTCCTCAGTAATTCAAATAACTGACTCACCGATCACATGGCTATATCAGTTTCATGCATGTCTTTGACTCCTGATACCTGACATCTTTTAGCTTTCACCGGTAGTTCAACTGAAAAATGAAAGCTTATTTTCAGACTTCACATTGTGAAGTCTGAAAATAAGGTTTACGCAATCATCTCGCAGGCCGGATTTAAACTGTGTGCGGGCCTGATCCGGCCCGCGGGCCGCATTTTTGACACCCCTGCACTAGTGTCTGATTGCGAAACCCACATTTAACAATGCACATATGGGTCCACTCACGTTTGCAGTTCTACCTACACACCCTCATGTATGGTCTCCATCCAGTGACGTCGTGAGACTTGCAGAGAAACAGCCGCGTTTGGCAACTAGATGAAACGGTGAGCTTTGCAAATGCATAAAGCAGCAGAGAGCAGGGCGTGGGTCTCTGGATTAGGCCAACTCTCTCTTGCTCTGCTCGTTCTCTGTGAAGGCCAGCCAGCAGCATTCCCTAATTAAATCACTGGCAGGCCTTTCTTTGCGAGTGGAAAAGATGCTGGTCTGATTTCAGATATTCGAAAGAACACACTTTACCAATGGAATCCGTCGTGATAGGGAAACCACGAAAGGGCTAACTGGAGAACAGATGTGGACGCAGAGAACTTTGTTTGTCGAAGATGACAAGTCACGGTTTTCATGGAATGAGGGGAAACTTTCTCATGGACAGGTGAGGCGATGGTCGACAGCAGAAAGGGTAAAAAAAAAAACACTTCTTTGGCTGTTGCTCACCAGCTTTGGCTCTTTTGGGCCCGGTCTCTGTTGGCATTTGAAGTAGCCCACAATGATCCCAACGGCAGCAAGAAGACCAGAAACCAGAATTCCCACAAATACAGATGAGCTTGATGACGGGTTCTCAACCTTTGACACACCAAGCTGCAAGAAAGTTTAAGGTATAAGAAAGTTAAATCTTACCATTCTGAATCATACATGGGTACTGTCATGATAAATAGGTTGTGATAATCATGGCTGTCACTGATACATCCTATAAAGAAAGACTGCATGTGTCTCGTGGCGTTGGCCATCAGAAAGAATGTCTCCTTAAGAAAACAAATGAAAACAAAACATTCAAGTAGAGTTTTCCCGTCTCACTTTGTTTCGTCGCGTTGGCTCGGATAGCCGTGGCTCAACAGGCTCCTTAAGGAAACCTGCAGCTCTTCATCAAGCTTGAGTGCGAGAAGGCTGAAGCTACAAGGCCAGGACAACCTGTTATAAGCTCACTGCTAACAGCACAGAATCTAGTTGGACCTAGAAACCAGCGAGGAGGTTTAGATGATGTAACTTTTTCAAACCTTGCAAAGAACTGATCATCATGGCAGAGATACCTCCTGAAGATAGTTCAGGTTGGGTTCAATAGAAAGGTGAGCTAAAGGCTAATGTAGACGATGAAAACATCAGACTAGACCTCTTTGGTTGATAGTTTATAAACCTTGTTGCACCACAACCTCGTGTCAGTTGTTCTGGCAAAGGAAATTCTGACAGGGCGAGGTACACGCTAACCAGGAGGTGCTAGCTAGCTCGGCTGAGATTTTCTGCTGCAAACAACAGGGTTCCAAAAACTGTTCAAACTTCGTAATCTATAATATTAAAGGCATCACTTGTAAGTCGCTTTGGACAAAAGCGTCTGCTAAATTCATAAACATTTAGCTTTTTCTTCATCACAAGCCCCTGCAGATCTAATAGCTTACAAACACTTATTGAAATAGCTATTTGAGTAGGTTTAATGCATGCTCACTCCAAAAGTAGACACAAAGGTATAGTTGTTTAAAAAAAAATCTGAATTAACTTAAAAATAGTTTCATAGTCATGCCATCAAATTTTGGACCTTCTTACCTTCTTCAGGTTTTCACTCTTGAGTGCTTGAGCCAGAGTCCCGGGCGCCGCTGTAGATGTTTAAAGAGACACCGGTACTCAACGTTAGTCTGCAGATTTGACTTTGAAACAACACACTAAACTGCGAATGTGAAGTTTTACTTTAAGATTGTCATTAATACTCACAATCGTTGCTGGCCACAAACACGTTGTTGCCTTCTTGGAAAATATTAAGATGGCAGTGTTCAGAGCTGCACCACTTTGCAGGATTCTCTTGAAGAATTTTTTTTGTTTCTTCCTGTAAGGAAGAGATCATATAGAAAATGATAAATGCACTTGGTCCTTCATAGTACCAGTGATACTGGATCATTTATGGATGCTTGGAATCTTAATTTGCAGTCCAAACCTGAAACGCCTGGAAAGATTTTAATTATAAATAGTCATTAAAAGTGGAAACACAGAAAAAAAAGAAAAGTACTTAAAACATGTAAACAAAATTAAGTGTGCAAAAATGGTGAAAACTGTTTAAAAAAGCAAATAAATAAATGAACAAGTGAAAATGTTTAAAAGGCATGAAGTCAAAAACATTCAGTGTGTTGTAAAAAGTGAATTATGACAAAGAATAAGGTAAAAGAAAAGTTTTTAAAGTTTCCTAATGTAAAAAGTACAAAAACGGTATATTTAAAAGTCTTGAAAATTAAAAAGAAAGTAAAACATGATCAAATTGATGTGTTAAAAATACTTCTGTCTCTCCATTAAAAGAGGGGCATAGTGTGTCAGTGAGTCCCAGTCTCATTTTCAACCTATTTCTATAAAATCTGTTATATCACAATTTGTGAGAATAACTTCAAAGAAACAATTTTGACAAAATTAATAATTACAATAAAAACAAAGGCTTTCCTTTATGCAAAGAGCTCTCCTCGTTTTCCCACTCAGCTCTTTAGGCAACCCAAGGACCTAATGCAGCTGAAAAACTTGCTGACTGACCACACCTTCATTTCTCATCTTATCCCTGAGTTATGACATCATCTCTTTGCGCATCAGTTCCCTTGACTGTGATGGGATCCAGACAGCTCACTAACCCCAGAAGACCACACTGAACAAATCCCAGATCCTCACTTAGGAGGGAGTGGGCCCACAGCTGCGCTCCACTCACATCTCTATTTTCCTTGTGTGATCATGAGTTGGACTGGATTTAAATGCACGTATTTTGCCCACATTATTTGAAGGGATGTGCATGATGGGAACGCACAATTCAGACCTTTGTTGTCGTGGTATTTTGTTTTGGTTTTTGACTCCTCCTGGTTTCTCCTTTAGATGACTTGCAGCTCTATTTGACCCATTGTGCTAACAATGAGCCCAATTCGAACATAACATGTTTGTGCAGATTATTTCATGAACAGTTACGTGAAAAGTCAAATTCACCCTTTTTGTGCATCAAAAGATGATGGACAAATGAACATCTTGTCTTCTGTGGATGTTAAAATGGGGCCAGTTTTAGAGGAAGCAAGTCAATGTATTAAAATGATCTGTAGCATGAAAAGTGTGCAAAGAAAACCACAGATGTTTGTCTTGAGAAACCCCAGAGTACACGAGGAAACATTAGCTCCTCTCTTTGGACGTGTCACACCAGGAACTCAAGATTTACAACGTCTAAGGAATGTCAGAGAAAAGATCTGCCTTTGTCTGGCTCACATCACGCTCTTTACTGCTTCTGCATCTACTTCCTTCAGGTTGATTCTGTAACTTCCACTGGGCACAAGGTGAGGGGGTCGTGGAAAGCGGAAAGAAACAAGTCATCAGAAGGGAGACTGGACTCGACGTCTCTAATTCACCGCAGTCCTAAATGCTGAAGGTTGCACGCCAACAGTTGCAGCTGTTGGTCGCCGGATATGGCCTGTGGTTGGCAGGGAGCACCAGGATTTAAAGAAGGTGTAAAACGGCCGAAAGCTCATACTCACGCATTTGTCTGAGTTTTTTACTTCAACCTTGACGTGGCTCTTCTCTGGGATGTCCTTCTTCTCAACACAACTCACGCTCGGCTGAAAGAAAACGAGATCAGCTCAAGCTTTAAACGTGATGATCTCAGCACGCTGAGAGGTTCGGATGTACTTTCCACAGATATCTTCAGCGTCTATTTTCTGGCGAGTTCACCATGAGCGCCATTCTGAAACACTCTTACCACAACAGGGGTTAACTCTTTCACGTCTGCAACTGCAGGGGCAGTGGTTCCAGGAGCCTCTTCCAGTGTTTTGACTCGAATGTTTGTAATGGTCATGGAAATCTTTGGGACATCAGACGGAGCAACAGAGTTTCCGCTATCTGAAGGGACCTGAGTGACATCTGCTGCTGGAGATCCAGTAGCTGCAGGACCATCTGTTCCTGCTCCTGGGAACACAATACGAGGGCACTTTGTCACTTATGGAACAGAACCCTCAATCACACAAAACCAGTACATAAAAACTTTAAAGGTTTTGACGGTGACTTGATCCGCATGGAGTTTTATGGAGTCTCCTACCCATGGGATTGGAGGTAGTTGGTACATCTGGTTGATCTACAACTGCAGGATCATCTTCACTCATCACCCCACCTTCAAGAAAAGGAAAATAAGTCAAACAAACACAGAGAGACGTTTACACATGGTCTTGTTTTTCCTTTATTGAATGCTAGGGATGGGTACCGAATTCGGTACTTTTTAAGGTACCGACCGAATTCCACAGTACCAACCGAGCACCGATTCACGTCATTTCAAACGGTGCCTCGTTTCGGTACCCGTCTTTCTTAACGAGAACTTGCCTAGACAGCTGCGCATGCGCAAGAGCGTTACGTCGTCAGTCGCTGCGAGCCAGTTGTAAACAGAGCAGCATGGTAGAAAGAACGCACGCTAAAGCTTGGGTCCACTTCACTAAATGTGATGGGTAACTGGGTGATGATGAAACCAGCGACAATGATCTAAGTGAGACATCCTCATCTTAATCTGCTCCGGTAGGTAAATAAAATGTTTAAGATAACGTTAGCTTGATATGTTAGCTTCCGTTTCGCTAATGTTGCATTCGCTTTCTCCTCGGAACCCCGAATTTCCGACTAGAAGAACGTGAACGCGCTCTAAAGTTTGGCTTCTCTTTACTAAATGCGACGGGTGATTGGGTGAAGATGAAACCAGCGACAACGATTTAAGTGTGAGGCATCATCGAAGGATCTTTCATGGCGGTTAAAACGAAGAGTCGGAGTACCTGGCCCGGAGGGTTACCGGGGTCCCACCCTGGAGCCAGGCCTGGGGTTGGGGCCCGTGAGCGAGCGCCTGGTGGCCGGGCTTTCGCCCATGGGGCCCGGCCGGGCCCAGCCCAAACCGGATACATGGGCTCGTCCAACTGTGGACCCACCACCCGCAGGAGGAACATGAAGGGTCCGGTGCAATGCGAACCGGGTGGCAGACCAAGGCGGGAGCCTTGGCGGTCCAATCCCCGGACAAGAAAACTAGTTTTTGGGACATGGAACGTCACCTCGCTGGCGGGGAAGGAGCCGGAGCTTGTGGCAGAGGTTGAGCGGTACCGGCTAGATATAGTCGGACTCACCTCGACACATTGCATTGGCTCTGGAACCCGAGACCTGGAGAGGGGTTGGACACTCTACTTTGCTGGAGTTGCTCCGGGTGAGAGGCGGAGGGCTGGGGTTGGCTTTTTGTTAGCCCCGAGACTCTCTGCCTGTGTGTTGGGGTTTACCCCGGGGGACAAGAGGTTAGCTTCCTTGCGCCTTCGGGTCGGGGAACGGGTCCTGACTGTTGTTTGTGCTTATGGGCCAAATATCAGTTCAGAGTACCCACCCTTTTTGGAGTCCCTGGGACGAGTGCTAGATAGTGCTCCATCAGGGGACTCCATTGTCCTGCTGGGGGACTTCAATGCTCACGTGGGCAATGACAGCTTGACCTGGAGGGGTGTGATTGGGAGGAACGGCCCACCTAATCTGAACTCGAGCGGTGTTTTGTTATTGGACTTCTGTGCAAGCCGCAGTTTGGCCATAACGAACACCATGTTCGAACATAAGGATGCCCACCGGTACACTTGGTACCAGGGCAGCCTAGGTCACAGGTCGATGATAGATTTTGTAGTCGTATCATCTGACCTGCGGCCGTATGTTTTGGACACCCGAGTGAAGAGAGGGGCGGAGCTGTCAACTGATCACCACATGGTGGTGAGTTGGATCAGATGGCAAGGGAACATGCCGCGTAGACCTGGCAGACCCAAACGCATAGTGAGGGTCTGCTGGGAACGCCTGGCAGAAGAACCTGTCAAGACGGTCTTCAACTCCCACCTCCGGCAGAGCTTTGACCACGTCCCGAGAGCAGTGGGGGACATTGAGTCCGAGTGGGCCTTGTTCCACTCTGCGATTGTCGAGGCGGATGTTGCTAGCTGTGGTCGTAAGGTGGCCGGTGCCAGTCGTGGTGGCAACCCCCGTACCCGCTGGTGGACATCAGAGGTTCGGGGAGCCGTCAGGCTGAAGAAGGAGGCCTACAGGGCGTGGCTGGTCTGTGGGTCTCCGGAGGCAGCAGACAGGTACCGGATAGCCAAGCGGGGTGCAGCAGTGGCAGTTGCCGAGGCAAAATCTCGGGCGTGGGAGGAGTTGGTGAGGCCATGGAGAAAGACTATCGATCGGCTCCAAAGAGGTTCTGGCAAACTGTCCGGCGCCTCAGGAGAGGAAGGCAGCAACTCGCTCACACTGTTTACAGTGGGGATGGGGAGCTGCTGACGTCAACTGAGGCTATAGTCGGACGGTGGAAGGAATACTTTGAGGAGCTCCTCAATCCCACCAATGCGCATTCCGAGGAGGAACCAGAGCTGGGAGGCCTGGGGATGAACTGTCCGATCTCGGGGGCAGAAGTTGCTGAGGTAGTCAAACAACTACACAGCGGCGGAGCCCCGGGGGCGGATGAGGTTCGTCCTGGGTATCTCAAGGCTATGGATGTTGTAGGGCTGTCATGGTTGACACGTCTCTACAACATTGCGTGGTCATCGGGGGCAGTTCCTAGGGAGTGGCAGACCGGGGTGGTGGTCCCCATCTTTAAGAAGGGTGACCTGAGGGTGTGTTCCAACTATAGGGGGATCACACTCCTCAGCCTCCCTGGAAAGGTCTACTCCAAGGTACTGGAGAGGAGGGTCCGATCGATAGTTGAATCTCAGATAGAGGAGGAGCAAGGTGGTTTTCGTCCTGGCCGTGGAACTGTGGACCAGCTCTATACCCTTGCAAGGGTGATGGAGGGGGCATGGGAGTTTGCCCATCCAATCCACATGTGCTTTGTGGATTTGGAGAAGGCTCATGACCGTGTCCCCAGGGGCACCCTGTGGGGGACGCTCCAGGAGTATGGGGTGGGTGGCTTTCTGTTAAGGGCCATTCAGTCCCTTTACCAGAGGAGCGTGAGTTTGGTCCGCATAGCCGGTAGTAAGTCGGACCTGTTCCCAGTGAGGGTTGGACTCCGCCAGGGCTGCCCTTTGTCACCGGTTCTGTTCATCACTTTTATGGACAGAGTTTCTAGACGCAGCCGTGGTGTGGAGTGTGTCGAGTTTGGTGGCAGGAGAATCTCGTCTCTGCTTTTTGCGGATGATGTGGTCCTCCTAGCTTCATCCAGCTCTGACCTTCAGCTCTTGCTGGGTAGGTTCGCGGCCGAATGTGAAGCGGCTGGGATGAGGATCAGCACCTCCAAATCTGAGACCATGGTTCTCGACCGGAAAAGGGTGGCTTGCCACCTCCGGGTCGGGGGAGAGGTCCTACCTCAAGTGGAGGAGTTTAAGTATCTCGGGGTCTTGTTCACGAGTGAGGGTAGGAGGGATCGGGAGATCGACAGGCGGATTGGTTCGGCGTCTGCAGTGATGCGGACGCTGAGCCGATCTGTCGTGGGGAAGAGGGAGCTGAGCCAGAAAGCCAGGCTCTCGATTTACCGGTCGATCTACGTCCCAATCCTCACCTATGGTCATGAGCTTTGGGTAATGACCGAAAGAACGAGATCGCGGATACAAGCGGCCGAAATGAGTTTCCTCCGTAGGGTGGCCGGGCTCAGCCTTAGAGATAGGGTGAGGAGCTCGGACATTCGGGAGGGACTCGGAGTAGAACCGCTGCTCCTCCGGATCGAAAGGAGCCAGTTGAGGTGGTTTGGGCATCTGGTCAGGATGCCTCCTGGACGCCTCCCCGGGGAGGTGTTTCGGGCATGTCCTGCCGGCAGAAGGCCCCCGGGGCGACCCAGGACACGTTGGAGAGGTTACATCTCCAATCTGGTCCGGGAACGCCTTGGGGTCCTGCCGGAGGAGCTGGTGGACAAGGCCGGGGAGAGGACGGCCTGGAGCTCCCTAATTGGGATGCTGCCCCCGCGACCCGGACCCGGATAAGCGGAGGAAGACGAAGACGAAGACGAAGACGAAGACGAAGGCATCATCGCTTTAATCTGCTCCAGCAGTTAAACTGTTTAAGATAACGTTAGCTTGATATGTTAGCTTCCATGGCCACCGTTGTTATCAGCTAATGGTGCGTTCGCTTTCTCCTCGGAAATTCTAACTTCCCAGTAGGAAAAATCAAATGAAAAAAGACGGCAAAAGGAATGAAGATACACAGTAAATTTAATTCATAGTAAAGATGTTTGCTTCAGTTTAATTATCAGCTTATAAAACTACAAGGACGATGTTAAAATACAAACAGTTGAATGTTATTTATCGTGATATTTATCAAATACTGTTATATATTGAGAAAAATATATATTTAATTATAAAAGAGAATTAAAATAATAAACACTCAAAAGTATCGAAAATTGGTACCTTTAAGTACCGGTATGAATTCCTAGGTACCGGGAATTAGTACCGAATCGATTCAATTGTCAAAGGTACCCATCCCTATTGAATGCCCTATATGTTAGTCAAGTACTCACTGCACTAGTGGTCCAAATGTCCAGAAGGAGGAGGCGTGATAATCAGCCTGTATTCATGATTTTAGCTTCATATTGTGCTGTGTGCCACACATAATCACCTGCTCTGGTTACACCCACGTTACTCGTTCAGAGTCCACATCAACTAAAGTACATCCTGTCTTTCTGAGACTAGGATCTTCAGATGTTTGCTTGTGGTTGTTTCCTTCATTTGGATCCAATTTCAGAACCACATTTAACACAGAATGCTGCTGAGACGCAAACCGAATCAGGCCAAACCCAAAATGGATTCAGTTTTTTTTACAATTGGTCTTCTGTTCATGACACATCTCGTATGAGTATTCTTTCTTGACAGTATTGTATTTTTCCTGTTTTATGCCTTGAAGTACCAGCAGTAAGATCATGCAGTTTGGAACAAGTGTACTTGCTTTAGTTCAGACAAATCTGAAGGGTGCAGCCTGAAAAACCCACAGATGAGACCATTCGCACCGCACCTGGTGCTCCACAAAGGTGAGACCTTACTTTCATTTGCACTTTCAGGATCATCATCAAATCCCAGCGTTGTTATAATACTGAGCTCACTCCCAGTGAGGTGTTTGTGAGAATGAGGTCAGGGTTTGAACAGCTTGTCCTGATGATTCAAACCCAACCCCTTCTGTTCTCAAGCTCACGTGATAATTAGT